GGAATGATTAAACCAAGCTAACTAGCATATCATCTCATGCTTATTTTTTGTGGTGAGAATATCTGAAATTTACTCATTTTTAAATATATCATGCTTTAGTATTGACTATATTCATCAAGGTATAAAATAGATGCCAAGAATTTACTCCTCTTGTCTGACACTGTATGTATTTGAGTCTGTAGTTTTTAAGAACAGGATCATAATCTGCAGACTCGGCTGGCCTGAAATTCATCTGAAGCCTAGGCTGGCTTCAAACTTCAGTTACTCTTTGTCTCAGCCTCCCAAGTACTGGGATTATAGGCATGTGCCACCATGTCCAATAGCTTGGTACATTTCAGGGGACATCCCAGTCCCCCAATACATCCTTACTGGACTCTGGTAACTACCATTCTACTGCATGCATATGAATTTGATTTTTATTTTTCTCTTGGAAGATTACACCCAAATGAGATCAAGCTAGCCACGGTGGCGTGTGCTTCTAAACACAAGTCTATAACAAACTGCACGTTTGTAATATATTTCAGTGGTAAGTGCCTGCCTAACTTATGTAAAGCTCCGGGTTTCAACCCTCAGCTCTGTAAAACCAAAACAAATCAAACGAAGCGAGAAGTGATATTGTCCAGTATGTTCTATGCCTGGCTTAGTTCACTAAGCACAGTGTTCTCCAGGTGCATTTATGATTTTGTAAATGACAGAATGTGATGTTCTGAGACTAAACAGCAAGCAAATTTCTGTATATACACTCAGTGACAAGTACAGAGTGGGAGGCAGTTGGCAAGGCGACAGCTCAGTTTCTTTAACAAAACAAACACAATGCTGCTAATGATAAAAAGGACTCAAGAGATACATGAAATCTTTGTCATTTCCTTACCAGAAGGGTAGAAGCTAATGTCCCACCCTTTAAATCAGTAGTAGCCTTAATCACTTGCTTAACCAACAAAAAACAGTGAGAGTGACTTCCTGAGGGTTCCAAAACTAGAAACCTGGCAGATGCCTCATGGGCCTCTTGGAGCATCTTCTCTAGAACCTCCTATCTTTCTTCCTAAGAAGTCAGAGTCCTCTTAGATCAGGATGCTGGAGACACCAGCCTATGAAAGATGTCAGTTTGGATCCTCTAGGTCAGCCCAGCATCTCATAAACCAGATGCTTCACGTAGTCAAACTACTGATCTGCAACATTTCAAACTTTGATAATGTGTCTATTGTTTTGCGCTGCTCAATTTTGGAGTGACCTATTACATAATGAAAGATGGGAAAAGTAAGATTTTTTAACTTGTATTTTACATTTATTGGTTCATGTGTGTGCATGTGCGTGCATGTGTATGTGTGTGCTATGGAACCTGTGGAGGGGGTCACAAGACAACTTGTAAGAGCTGGAGCTCTTCTACAATGTGGGTCTTAGAGGTGGAACTTAGGTTCAGGCTTGGTGGCAAGAGCCTCTATCTCGTGAGCCATCTCCCTTGCCCAACATTTCATATTTTAAACCAAAAGTTGAGATGTAGTGTTGGTAGAAGGTTCATGGGGGTGGGTGGGATGTGGGGTGGGGTTGGGTGAGAAACAAGACAAAAGACACATTGGGTGTGTGTGTGTGTGTGTGTGTGTGTGTATCTGTGAGGCAACATTGTATTAGGATGAAAATGATACGTTATAAATTGTGTGAAGAATTAAGTTGCTTTTCTTGAGATTTTCTAATTAACTAGTGACGGGAAATTGGTTTGGGAAGAATAAAGAGATGCATAATTATTTCTTTCATGATGAATGTGCACTCCTGGCACCTCTGGGGACTAAGACTGTCCTGCAGGGAATATGATTAAAGTTAAAAAGAGGGAAAACAAAATAAGTAAGTCAGCCCCTGATCATGCTGCTGTATTTACCCACAGAAAGGAGGCAGCTCTCAGGTGGGCTTTTGTTCGCGTAATGTTCTGAAATCCTTGTGGAAAAGAACAATATGAAATCTCAATTCTCCCAAATGGTTTGGGGCGAGTTCAGCTCTTGAGCCCCTGGGGGGGCTCAGTTCCCAAGGAGACTAATCCCACTTGCTCAGCGTTAGGCATCACCAGGAGGAAAGAGCTCTCCATTGGAGATCTGCAGCTCCCCTGGTGCAGGCGGGAGTTGAGTCCCTCTGCTCCATAGGAAGTGAAATGTATTGATGTCAAAGCCATCAAGTGATTACTTTTACTCAGGGGGGAGGAGGAGGGGCTGAAGTGCCTGGCAGGAGCGAGCCATTGGCTCAACTAAAATCAATTTCATCCCAGATGGAACTCTTCCGAAAAAGAAAACAGTCGGACGAGGTCTGTGATATAGTTGGATAAGTTTGAGCTCTAGGAGCTTCCTCTGGTTTTAGAAACAGAATAATTTTAATCAAAGTTATTCTCTGTTGACCCCTTCCCATAAACATCATTGCTTTCACTTGCTATGCCTCTTGGTTGTTCTTTCAGAGAGAGACTGCATATTTGCTTGAAATACTCGGGCATATCCTTTAAGTCTTTGCTCCAACACTGCCCTGTCTTTGTAAATAGCTTATCTTCTTTGGGAAGTCTTGAGGGTCTTTTTTATCCCACCAACTCTGGAGCCTTTAATTTACTTAGGTCATATACTACAATGATTCATGTGCATGTCTGTCTTTCCATATGCGTGTCTGTCTTTCCACCCTAACATATACTACAATGACTCGTGTGTATGTCTGTCTTTCTGTTAGAACATATACTACAATGACTTGTGTGCATGTCTGTCTTTCCATTAGAAAGCGCTAGAATCATGGCTTCTTACCTCCGCATCCCTAGTTTTTTTTTACTCCAGGTGAGTGTCAATATTTTTCTGCTGAATGAGTAAGTGACTGGATGGGCATAGATGGCAGCGTTGTGAATCATGAAAAGTTATACATATTTTACTTTCTGTACACATAGTTGTCAAAAGCGTTCACTTCTATTATCTTGTTGGTTTCTCACCAAACAGTTCTCCTGTTATTTCTATTTATAGGTTAGAGTCCACAGAAGGAGGTTTGTACTGTCAGACAATAAAGGATAGCCTTTGGGTATAACTTCAACTTCGTTCACTGTCCTCTTAAATTTTCTATAGCCACAGGCACAGCTACTCCCTTGCATTAGGAAATAGGCACTTGGATAGGGACAATGGACAAATGACATTGATCTTATGATCCGTATGTTGAAATAGAATGGGTTGGACATAAAAAATCAAGAACATGGAGTTCACTGGGTCGCTATTTTATGCCAGAAGGAGGAAGTGAACTAGCATTCACCATTCCAGGAGAAGTCACATTTGCCTAGCAGGTCATACGACCTCTCAAAGCCCATGGGAATAGTTATGACTATTCTTGTTTCTCAGACGAGGAATGGAAATGATATGGAAAAGTTAGCTTTGATGTGTAGAATTCTAACTTTCTAGGAATGAAGAATTTTTTTACAGATGAATTTTCATGGTCCATTTATTTTAAATATGATGATATTATTAGAATTTTGGTTTCTTTCAGACTTTTAAGTATAGAATCTTGTGCAGTGGGCCTCTGGGCATTTCTAATTAAATGCTTGTCATCTCTACTGGACTCCGTGTGTCTCTGGCCTTGGACATCACCAAGTGAACCCGAAAGAAATGGCAATTGCGCCAACTTGGATTAAAATACAAAGTTTGATTCAGCTTTATGGGTTTGTTTAAGTGCCTCTTTCCCTTTGCTTAGACAAAGCCCGTCTTCTTTGGTAAGGGTGTATGTCTGCTACAACAGGTTTCTGCTATTGCTGCAGAAAAATGGGGCTTCACAGGAAGTCTTTGATGCTCCTCTTCAGTGACTGTTGTGTGCACAGGGCTTTCCTGTTTTTCCATCAGTTAATCCTCATGAGTACCTGTGACAGAGAAGACTTGTCAAGGAGTACAGCCACATCCACAGGCCGCTTCTTTTATAATAAATACTATATGTGCCCAGTGAGGTGAGCAGCCACACCTGTGTTTAATATGAGTAAACTAACCAAAGCAAAGCGTGGTGGGCCAGACTTTCAGCCCCAGTCACAAGGCTTAAACCAGAACCCAAGTCTTTTACCAAAAACTTTTCATGCTGGACCGTGTTCATTTTCTCTGTCTCAGGAATGAATCTCCGGTTTAAAGTATCAAGGGGATTGTTTAAAGACCCTGGAAATGTGTCAAGGACAGTCTACATGGCTTGAGAAGTAGGACAGAGGAACATCTGGGAGCTGCCCACATGCCTGAGGGAGGCGTGGAGTGCGAACTCACTCTCTCTCTCTCTCTCTCTCTCTCTCTCTCTCTCTCTCTCTCTCTCTCTCTCTCTCTCTGGCTTAGGGAGACTGACTTCTTCCTCATTTGCCTTTTGGGCCAAGTGCTGGCTTCTTCAAGCTAGTATTAACTTCTAACAACCAATCAGTAGTAGTAAAAACTTGAGGGTCTCGGGAAACTGATCAGAATCTTAGACTCGGAGTTTGAAGAAACAGAATTTTCCTCCTGCATTCTGGGAATGGCATCATTTGGGGAATGGCGTTGTCTGACTGGGCTAGATGTGTCTGTGGCCAATTCTTCGAACTTTTCAGAGGTCCGGTTTCTTTTGTTGAATGACGATAAAAAACACTCAGTTCACGAGGTTGTTGGACATGATTAAAAGTGATAGTAAAGTACGGACAATGGCTCAGGGCAAACATCCAGAAGCTGCAAACTAGTGGACCTCACTGCTTCCAGAGTTGAGATCGAAACCCAGCTTTGTGGACTCAACGTCTTCTTTACCTTAGGCACCCAGTCCGGAGCCAGGGTGTGTTTTTACAGGGGCTGAGCTGCGTTTGAACACAGGCTTTCTCCGCAACCCTGGCGGTTGAGGCCAGTCAAAACAAATGCCCCGGGGCACAGGGTAAAAAAAGGGTTAAGGCTTGGGAAAGCTCAGAAAACAAGAAAAACCCGAGTTCACCCCCCTCGCCCCACCCCCTAAGCCTGGCTAAGCAAGCCCCTCCCCTCCGCTACCGGGGCGGTCGCCGGGCTATCCCACCCTCCGCCTCCAGCTTACAAGATCTAATGAGCTCCCCCGGGAGGTTGAGCCTCGAGCCCCGGCCCGAGCGAGCAGACAGCGCCGCGCCTGGGCAGGAGCCGGCCGGGAGCGGACGGGCCGCGCTGCGGACCAAACCGCGGCGATGGCGGTGCAGGCTGCGCTGCTTAGCTCGCACCCCTTCATACCCTTCGGTTTCGGAGGTTCCGCGGAAGGGCTGGTGAGCGCCTTCGGAAGTTTGGACAAGGGCTGCTGTTTCGAGGACGATGAGAGCGGGGCGCCCGCGGGAGCGCTGCTGTCGGCATCAGAGGGCGGGGACGTCCGCGAGGCTACCCGCGACCTGCTCAGCTTCATAGACTCGGCGTCCAGCAACATCAAGCTGGCTCTGGACAAGCCAGGCAAGTCCAAGAGGAAGGTGAACCACCGCAAGTACCTGCAGAAGCAGATCAAGCGCTGCAGCGGCCTCATGGGCACCGCGCCTACGGGACCACCATCCCCGAGCGCGCCAGACGCTCCAGCTAAGCGGCCACCGGGCGCCCCGGGAGCCCCAACCGTCGCCGCCCCGGCGCACTGCAAGGCCACACCGAGGAGGGAGGCGACACAGGCCGCGGCTGCTGCCAGCCTGCAGAGTCGGAGCCTGGCTGCCCTTTTTGATTCTCTGCACCA